AGAAATGAGTGGGACCTTCAGAATGGCCTTGCTGAAAATAGGGATGTGCAGTATGAAGAAAATCACCTCATGGTAATAGCATATACTGTACCACAATATAGTTTTTGTATTAAATATTCTAGCCATTAAATAAAAACACTACATTAGATTGATATCCGAGTCTATATATCGGAGCAATTCCTCAACAAACATTACTCTCACACCTTCATTATAACCTGTTAGTCTTGTTGTCAAGGCAACAGCACTACTGTGAGTGTGAAGCTCCGAGAGTCTGTGACAGCATGTGTCTGGTGTCTGTGATTAGCTTCACGACCAAGCCAGCAGCCTGTGGCCTCACTTTCACCCACAACATCAGCAGCTGATCATTCACCTCTCCTCACCTTCTTTGAGCAGAATATCCCCATGACAACACAACAATCCATATCTTAATTTTCATAGGATTGCAGAATTGATTGCTTCAAACTGGACGTGTCAGATCGCAGCTTCTCACTGCATGTATCAAGCCTCTTAATAAGATGAGTAAACACAGCCTGTTTATATGGAGGTATTACACATTAAATGATATCATGATTACGTAATTTTCATTCTCAAATTACCATTCTTCGATCTAGATATCATTATCAGCCATTCAAATAACTCCCATCAGTCAACTATTAGACTGCACTCAATCCATTACCCTAACCTTACAGCACTTTTAATTGTGTAATCTGCTGTAGTGCAACATGTTAACCATTAGTCCAAGTCCAATACGTCACTAAATAGGATTATGCATCATTATCTTATTTGTGCCAGCTGTACAAATGTAAGTAAACGTCAGTCTGTAATGAGGGCAGAAATTCTCACAAATCTCGCAGAAAATTACTATTAATATGACATTTTGTCGGGGGAAAACAGAGGTCATGTTGCCTATCGTGAGAAAGAACAGCATTCATGAGAGGATGATCAAGCTCTCGATTAAAGTCTCTCTGCAGGGACAGCACGATGCTTCTGCGTCATCTTATAAATAATCCATATGGACAGACGAGCGATGAGTCACACGTACTGTGTGAACCGCAAGCAAACAGAAAGAGTGTGATTAAAAAAATTAATCGTACTGCCAGGGAGGGGTTTTTCATATATGCATCTATAAATATGGAGAAAACTGCTGCACTGAAAACAGTGTAGCAGAGTTTTAATGAGCTCTCCATGTGCTCACTGCTTGCGGAAGTGCATTATTAACATTCCACAGCTGCCGTATGAATGGTGTCATAATCCAGCAGCTGATAAGAGCCACCACTCCCATCTTCAACTTCCACAAAGTAAACATTAAAGGTCCCATATTGTCAAAACAGAAATGTCCTGGCTTTTTTCACGATAACTGAGATCTAGGGGCTATTTAACTACCATACAAGTTTCAAAACAGTCAGTCCACAGTAAAATGGACACAGCCTGCATAAAGTAGCTGTGATTTTTCACGAACCGTTGTGACTTACATAAAAAGTTGACGTCAGAACTACTCAGTCACCACCTTCAGTCACCACCCCGAGCACCGCCCACAGTCCCACTCTCCTTTTGCCAAACCCCCAGACAACATTGCGTCCATGCTATTGCTGAGCAAGGACAACACGGAAACATGTCGAAAAGGTTAACTTTAACCACGAAACCAGATCGGCCGACCTGTAATGTTACACTCTCACTCAAAGGATGGACGATCTGACAGGATTGTTTCTATGAGGTAGATCACATCTAACATGTATAGTAAAGACAAACTCACCGTGTCTATCTAGTCCTGATGAAGATGTATATTTCAATTTCAGCAGGAAACTACTTTTACAGCTACATTATTGTTCCAGCCACAATTAATCACAACAATGTATATACAATTACAAATGATCATATATAAATCTTCAGTTTGTTGTTTTACACACAATAATTTTTTTGTCTGGCAGTGGCAGCAGATATGTGATCAAAAATTTCTAATTTGAGGCTGTATTACGTCGATTCTGGCACCCAACATCACAACAAGATGATATTTTAAGCTCCTTATGAAGCCGAATCTGCGCTGGTTTGAATGGGCCGCCTCCAGTTTCCCCTTTGTTTTGCTGCCTCCAGCTAGCGCTGGGATGTAGGCTGACCCTAGTTACCTGTGGTTGGCCTGGCCGTGTGTCACTCAGAAAACAACAGGCCAATCAGAAGAGGGGCTCATGAATATTAATTAGACAGGCCAAAATCGACCTATTCTCAGCAGAGCTCCTGAGAGAGGAGCTGTAAAAATATATTGAGATGGTTTTTAATACCGCAAATATATATTCTTAAGGACATTAAGACTTAAAATAAAACTCCAGAAAGGTGTAAAATACGTGACCTTTAATAGTGGTTTCATTTTGATTCATCTCGGTGACTCAAAACTTCTGTGTTCAATAAAAAAGTTCAACGAATCATTCAGTAGCCCTTTCAGCAAGTCACATTACTATGGCAGCAGTGATAACAAGTCTTTGTGTTACGAGTGAGTCACTGAACCAATTGCTAGAGGCGTTACAGGCGTTCACGCCCAAAACAAGTCTTATTATGCATAAATTATCTACAAATCTACTAAGACTCCAGAAAGAGTATCCAATAATTATAACCTCACCTGACTTTCACCAAGCTATAAAAACAGGAGTAGCCTACATAAAATAAGACGTATGGAACACATTAATAATTATTAATTTAATACACCCATATTCTGGAAACTAAAGGCCCATTCATACTAAGAATAATAACTAGGGCTGGGTTAACAATATTGATTAATCGTTCTATATTCATTTTGATGAACCAATATTCTTGAATTCCAAAATCAGCCTTTTATCTTTGCTGCTTTCTGTTAATGTGTGAACAAAACTTGACTAAACATTATTTGTAGCACGCCTCCCATCTAATAAACACAATATGCACTGTGCTTTGTTATCTTTGAAATGAAAAAGTCTCAAATTTTAAATTCTGTCAATTTTATCAATAAATGTCGTTTCGATGCTCTTTAATGGGAGTAAGATCGCTGTAGCTGCCTCAGTTCAAGAGCGTGCGTGAACGATCAACTTTTCCTCTTTACTACTAGTTATAGTATAGTAGTCATTGAATCTGTCCTCTGCACTTCTATAACTGTCTGGTTTAGCTCAGCTACCAAATCTGACCTCAGAAGACTACAGAGGGTAGTCCGGACTGCTGAGCGAATCATTGGTACAACCCTCCCTTCTCTCCAAGAACTGTACTCGTCCAGAGTGAGCAAAAGGGCTGGCAAAATCACTCTGGACCCCACACATCCAGCACACTCCCTCTTTGAACTGTTGCCATCTGGTCGACGCTACAGAGCACTGAGCACCAGAACGGCCAGACACAGGAACAGTTTCTTCCTTCAGGCAATCCATCTCACGAACAATTGACAATAACTCTGGAACACACAACACTATTTATACACTCATACACTTATTTATCTAACACGCATACTTAGTCTACACTTCAAATTTACACATAATATACCTGTACATACAAAACTGTCTATTGTAATATACCTGCACATACAATTGTCAATTTATATATTGTTATTCCTTATTTACTTGTTCTATTTTTTCTTTTTTTTTCTTTTATTATCTGTATTTTTGTTCTGTCGCTGTCATTCTGCTGCACTCCGGAAGCTTCTGTCATGAAAACAAATTCCTTGTATGTGAAAACATGCCTGGTAATGAAGCTCATTCTGATTCTGATTCTGATAGCATGAAATAAAACTTAATGAACTATTAATGAAACTGTCGTTCTGTCAACTGTCGCTTTAAATGCTCGAGTTTTTTGAAGTCGGGTGGATTCTGGTTGCCTGTAAATATTTTTATCATTCCTTAGCTGAAAATTAACATTCTGAAAGTGATTCCAACTATGTTCCTCTGCTTCGGTATATCACAGCTGTGGTGTGGACTTCCCTGTTCTCAAAGATTTAGAACTATTAACTAAACTTTATACTTACATTTTTTTAGTGCGAACAGGCCTTAACCCATTACTCAACACATTACCTTTTTTGTTCAGGTCTTCACTCATAACTTAGATAACTCATTACTTCAGATCACTTCCCGAATAGTTCAGTTCATTTACGAACTAAAAATTATTTGTCCCAATTTATTATTTTTCTTTGTCAAAAAAATGCAGTTAATTCAGTTGGACGATGAACGAAATGTCACCGTTTATTCACAAGCATGATGCTTGGATAACTCATTACTTCAGATCACTTCCCGAATAGTTCAGTTCATTTACGAACTAAAAATTATTTGTCCCAATTTATTATTTTTCTTTGTCAAAAAAAATGCAGTTAATTCAGTTGGACGATGAACGAAATGTCACCGTTTATTCACAAGCATGATGCTTCCTTCGATTATTTCACTCACGAATGATAGCTCCATTCATTCATTTTATTCAAACAGACTCGGCTGATTCGGTAGTTGGGGGTTGGGTCGATTAGGATCAAAACTGAAGGGGGCGTATCTGTTCAGTAGTCTCAACCAATGAAATGCTCCTTCACAGCCCACACCCGAATACTATTGGCTCGTGCTGTATAGTTTGTCTTTGATGACAGAACAGGAGTCACTCGCTTCAAAAAGAGGACACACTTCAGTGAAGGGAAAATACGACCCAGTGCATGCAAGTGAAGGAGACCCATTCACTCACTTAAAAAGACTCCTTCAAAAAGACCACAATGTCATATATAGACGATGAACTACTGTCCTTCAAAGTAACGGGGAGTGTCCATTTCCAGAAATAAACACTTTATACTTGACCTAAACATATCAAACTCATGTCATTTGATTCTAATATGAATTATAACTTACTACTACACATGTTCTCCACACACTTGCTGTAAAAGTGTACACACAGCGCCACGTTGTCAGCCATTCGGGGATATTTTGGCTCGTGCGCTGAACGCATGCTGTATACTTCTAATCAATAACACTGAATATCTCATGCGTCGTGGCCAAATGACAAATAAATAATTTTCGTACTTATCTGCCGTCGCTTCCTGAACGGACTCATCTTTCTTCACTGGTTCTGCAGGGTCAGTCGCTCCTTCGGTCTTTGTACATAAACATCTTATCCCAGCTAAAGGCTGAATGAAAGGTCTTCCACTACAGACAGTCTTTAATTGAGATATTCTGCCATCCTGATAAGCAGCGCTGTAGAAGTACGCGTTTGGTAAAGTCTTCTTATGCCTTATAATGTCAGAAAACGAACGCTTTGGGCTGGTTTGAATCAACTCCTTCAGCACAACTGAAGCCCTAAACTGTAACATCTCAATCCTGTCGAGCTAATTCAGTTTAATGTCTTTATTTTTAATAATACTAGAAGACAACTTGTAGTTCTAGATGCTACGGCACAGTCAATTCCCTCACTCACTTTGCGCACCTACTGATAAGAGGAGCTTTTTTAGCAGGGTTGCCAGGTTTTCACAACAAAACCCGCCCAATTGCTACTCGAACCTAGAGCAATCGCGTTTCGGGGGATAGGAGGGGGTCCACCGGTACAAATCACGTTCCGGAGGGTAAAATACACGTTTTGTGGCGGTGTCCCCCTGGTGAAATTCGCATTCCAGGGGCTAAATATCACGTTTAATCCGCAGCAACAGCGTAAAGTAGCCAAATTCCGCGGGAAAACAGTGGACCTGGCAACAATGCTTTTTAGTGAAGACCAATCACGTACACGCCCACCGAACGAGCTATTGGACGACGTGCAAATATATGCGCATATTCTCTCACATTCTTGGCAAAAATAAAACATAGTTCATTTTTGATTGCCATGCGCCACATCCTGCAATGACTCGCTGTATGACCCGCAATCTATGTTTTTCTGACTTTATGATGTCTATTTCAGTATAAAAAAACGTGTTAATGGCTGAATGCTTATTGTTGCTGTCCTGAAAGCAATTGTGCATTTAGCTTTTTTCCCATTGACTAACACTGTATTATATTATTAACCAAAACTCTAGTGTTTATGTACAATTATAGTATTTATTAGTATTTATAGTACAGTATTTATTCTGAATGACCTTTTCTTTTTATATTTTGCATATTTTATATTTTTATTGATATATATTACACATTATATAGGCCTATTTTATGTATATATATTTCATACCGCTATATTTATTTCAGTATACTTTAACTTTAGTTTATCTCTAATTTACAAGTATTTAATATGAAAAGCTCATTGAGAGGCCTACTACTTTTAAAGTATGTTTTTATTCATTGCATGACATTTATAAATGGTGATGTAAGCCTAGAAGTCATTTATGCTCCTTTTTCTCTCATGCAACATCTCATATACCTTTCTGTATGTTTGTGACCTCAATGGAAAAATTCATGCCATCAAACTAAAAAATCATGGATGCAACAACTGTCCTTTTGGAAAAAGACATATAATACCAAGTGCAGTTCAATTAGACAAAATCTGTCATAATTCTAAAAATAAATAAATAATGTGTTTAATGATGCGATTATATCATTATTACCTGTAGCTTTTTAATCTGACGGGATTATGACCAGGAAATGGAACAAAAAGGAACCAGACGAGAAGCTTGCTAACAACAAAATTGGAATTTGTGGCATGTTTTAGAGAAAGCTGCTTATCGGATGTAACGGATCTAAGAGAGTAAACTCTCACTGTATACTTTTATGTTCCCAAATGTGAAACGCAAAGACTGGAATCATCAATCCAGTTGTCAGAATGAGGTTGTGCAACCACTCAGTGACAGTTCAAGAAGTTGTTAAGCAATCTTTAAGTGTGACGTGACATGTGGCCAAGTATGGTTACCCATACTAGGAATTAGTGCTCTGCATTTAACCCATGCTAAGTGCACACACACACACACACCGTGAACACACACCCGGAGCAGTGGGCAGCCATTTATGCTGCAACGCCCGGGGAGCAGTTTGGGGGTTTGGTGCCTTGCTCAAGGGCACCTCAGTCGTGGTATTGAAGGTGGGAGAGAGCGCTGTACATTCACTCCCCCCACCTACAATCCCTGCCGGACTTGAGACGTGAACTCGCAATGTTTGGGTTACGAGTCCGACTCTCTAACCATTAGGCCCCAATGTTGGTAAAATTTAGGAAGGAGTCACTAAAGATAAAAACAGATTACTGTTTTGGTCTGAGATCGTATTATTTTGTGCCACAATAGTGCAACAGTAGGCCTCTAGAAGTAGCAGTTCCATCAAACATTACACTCTAAAAAATGCTGGGTTGTTTCAACCCAACTTTTGGGTTAAAAATTGAATGTAAAAATTTAACCCAACGTTTGGGTTAGTCCATATTTGACCCAAAGTTGGGTTGAAACAACCCAGCATTTTTTAGAGTGTACGAATAACATTATTGAGTCAGTCGCAAACATCTCAAAGCTTGTTAGTTTGGTTCATGGTTCAGAAATGATTATTTCTACATTTTTTTGGTGGGAATGGGAAATATCATTTTGGAACCAAGGCAACTGAAAAAGTTGACCTCACTGTTTTGCTTTACTACAGACCAGCAAACAACTCTGGCATACAATCCTATGCAATATCGTATCAATCTCTTGACTATCCAGAAAAATAAATGCCATTTTGGTAAGTACTGGAACAATTTTATTGTTACTTTTTAGACTGCATGCCTACTCTTTCTGGAAACTTCTACACTTGAATGAGGCCTAAACCAAAAGAAAATGTTTTTGTGCATTTAGTTTTGCCTCCTACTGTCACAGAGAGGTAATTACACGATTTCACTCTTGACTTCAAAAGAAGACTGTAGAAGAGCACAGGACTAACCCAACCGTTGGGTTAAAAAAAAATTTAACCCAACGGTTGGGTTAGTCCATATTTGACCCAAAGTTGGGTTGAAACAACCCAGCATTTTTTAGAGTGTACGAATAACATTATTGAGTCAGTCGCAAACATCTCAAAGCTTGTTAGTTTGGTTCATGGTTCAGAAATGATTATTTCTACATTTTTTTGGTGGGAATGGGAAATATCATTTTGGAACCAAGGCAACTGAAAAAGTTGACCTCACTGTTTTGCTTTACTACAGACCAGCAAACAACTCTGGCATACAATCCTATGCAATATCGTATCAATCTCTTGACTATCCAGAAAAATAAATGCCATTTTGGTAAGTATTGGAACAATTTTATTGTTACTTTTTAGACTCTTTTTAGAGACCTAAACCAAAAGAAAATGTTTTTGTGCATTTAGTTTTGCCTCCTACTGTCACAGAGAGGTAATTACACGATTTCACTCTTGACTTCAAAAGAAGACTGTAGAAGAGCACATGTATAAATGTATGTGATGCTGCTATCTTGTGGAGAATGTGTATACTGTAGTGAGAAATGGGACTAACATACTGTACTGTATGTAGATTAAGCCCGGAATAGCACTAACTGAAAAAATAATGCATTGCATTAATAGTGCTTATGTTTGGGTTACGAGTCCGACTCTCTAACCATTAGGCCCCAATGTTGGTAAAATTTAGGAAGGAGTCACTAAAGATAAAAACAGATTACTGTTTTGGTCTGAGATCGTATTATTTTGTGCCACAATAGTGCAACAGTAGGCCTCTAGAAGTAGCAGTTCCATCAAACATTACACTCTAAAAAATGCTGGGTTGTTTCAACCCAACTTTGGGTCAAATATGGACTAACCCAAACGTTGGGTTAAATTTTTACATTCAATTTTTAACCCAAAAGTTGGGTTGAAACAACCCAGCATTTTTTAGAGTGTACGAATAACATTATTGAGTCAGTCGCAAACATCTCAAAGCTTGTTAGTTTGGTTCATGGTTCAGAAATTATTATTGCTAAATTTTTTTGGTGGGAATGGGAAATATCATTTTGGAACCAAGGCAACTGAAAAAGTTGACCTCACTGTTTTGCTTTACTACAGACCAGCAAACAACTCCGGCATTCAATCCTATGCAATATCGTATCAATCTCTTGACTATCCAGAAAAATAAATGCCATTTTGGTAAGTACTGGAACAATTTTATTGTTACTTTTTAGACTGCATGCCTACTCTTTCTGGAAACTTCTACACTTGAATGAGGCCTAAACCAAAAGAAAATGTTTTTGTGCATTTAGTTTTGCCTCCTACTGTCACAGAGAGGTAATTACACGATTTCACTCTTGACTTCAAAAGAAGACTGTAGAAGAGCACATGTATAAATGTATGTGATGCTGCTATCTTGTGGAGAATGTGTATACTGTAGTGAGAAATGGGACTAACATACTGTACTGTATGTAGATTAAGCCCGGAATAGCACTAACTGAAAAAATAATGCATTGCATTAATAGTGCTTGCATTTTATTAATGCCTTGTATTTCAAGGGCTCAAATGCAGTGGTTAAAATTCGGCAGAAAATTCGCCATTGCACATCCGGGAGCTGCAGGAATAGCAGTAGAGCGCTGATGCATGATCTCCAGCTGCTGTCAGTCGCTCACCAGCAGGTGGCGCAAGCGGCTGTTGATGAAGACCAAAGCAACAGGTGGAGCAAGTCATTCGTTCACAAAAACTGAACATTTTATTAATGCCTTGTATTTCAAGGGCTTGCAGTTTTAGGTCCTGAAAATTAACATAGTTGTTTATTTAAGCTGTTAATATTTCAATTCAATAATTCATATTCACTTTCCAGAAATCACTTCCAAAATTTTTTAATCTGTTTAAAAAATACGATGTATAATATTCGACAGGCAAATTTCGGTCCATTTTATTTCACTTTCCAAATTTGCTTCCACAAATGCAGTGGTTAAAATTCGGCAGAAAATTCGCCATTGCACATCCGGGAGCTGCAGGAATAGCAGTAGAGCGCTGATGCATGATCTCCAGCTGCTGTCAGTCGCTCACCAGCAGGTGGCGCAAGCGGCTGTTGATGAAGACCAAAGCAACAGGTGGAGCAAGTCATTCGTTCACAAAAACTGATCTGCAGAAATGGAGCAGAAAGTTTTGATTATCGGGGCCAGTATAAACATGTGGAAAAGCTGATTGTGTGTATGTTTAATTCAGCATCGTAGCCTACATGTAAGCAGCTTTCTCCACAAAGGAGATTATAATGCTATTTTACCCAACGCTGAAGTACAGAACTAACATTACATCTAAGGAAGACATTTATTGCTTTCGGTTGCTTAGTTTCTGTAACTTTGTATCATGGCTTGTGTGAAGCTGTGCTGTAATGCTGGAGTTATCTCTTACAAAAAAATTACAGTGGCAGTATATAGTGATTGTACCAGATGCTAATATCACGGTACTTCAAATGATACTGTGGTAACCTTTAGGGGCCCAAACTAAGCAAAATATAAAATGTGCAAATGTTATATTGTCAAAAAGTAAGATGAAAATCTGATGATAATTACATAAAATGTGGATAAATATCAGTTGTCACTCTATATTTCCCAGTAAATGATAATATGATATTTAAATGCTTACTTTTATGATCAAAGTGCTGTAGTTTTCATTGTTGGGGCAATTCATATAATTCAATGCAATACAATGCTGAAAAAGAGCTCAACGAATAAACCGTCCTCAAAGCCTGATGTATCTTTTATATTCCCATATTAGTATGAAAAAAATGTATGTATGGATAGTAAACCATTAGCTGCTTCAGTCCAGTAAGTGTTCGTCTTAAAATATTACTAACAATATGAGAGTTTTTACATTTACTTTATTTAAAAAAACTGAAAAAATTACACAGAAAAAAGACACACACACACACACACCCACACACACAGAGAGAGTGAGAGTGAGAGAGAGAGAGAGAGAGAGAGAGAGAGAGAGCGAGAGAGCGAGAGAG